TAAGAAAAAGCAGAAAGCCTACAAGGAGTGGAAGATGGGAGGGATTAGCAAGGAAAGCTACCTTATTGAGGTCAGAATATGTAGGGGTAAAGTGAGAAAGGCCAAAAGCCATGTAGAGTTGGACCTTGCAAAGGGAATTAAAAACAATAGTAAAAGGTTCTATAGCCATATAAATAAGAGGAAAACATAAAGAAGAAGTGGGACCGCTTAACACTGAGGATGGAGTGGAGGTTAAAGGATAATCTAGGCATGGCCCAATATCTAAACAAATATTTTGTCTCAGTCTTTAACGAGGCTAATGGGGAGCTTAGGGATAATCGTGGGATGACAAATGGGAATGAGGATATGGAGGTAGATATTACCACGTCCGAGGTAGAAGCCAAACTCGAACAGCTTAATGGGACTAAATCGGGGGGCCCGGATAATCTTCATCCAAGAATATTAAAGGAACTGGCACATGAACTTGCAAGCCCGTTAGCAAGAATTTTTAATCAATCTGTAAACTCAGGGGTTGTACCGTATGACTGGAGTTCCTATTTTTAAGAAAGGTTAAAAAAAAGCGATCCGGATAACTACAGTCCTGTTAGTTTGACATCTGTAGTATGCAAGGTCTTGGAAAAAAATTTGAAGGAGAAAGTAGTTAAGGACTTTGAGGTTAATGGTAATTGGGACAAAATACAACATGGCTTTACAAAAGGTAGATTGTCTCAAACCAACCTGATCTCCTTCTTTGAGAAGGTAACAGATTTTTTAGACAAAGGGAACACAGTAGATCTAATTTACCTCGATTTCAGTAAGGCATTTGATATGGTTCCACATGGAGAATTATTAGCTAAATTGGAAAAGATGAGGATCAGTATGAAAATTGAAAGGTGGATAAGGAACTGGTTAAAGGGGAGACTACAGCAGTGTATTCCCCTCTCAGAAGTCATCTGTTCTACCACTGGGAGAAAAGGGAGAGGAACCTGCACCTCAGAGACTTTCAAGCCACAGAGCAGGAGATTTGTCCAACCTAGCCAACAGAGAGGGGTCCGAGAGAGAGAGAGCGCGCAAGAGAGCGCAATTACATAATTGTTTGTTTTTCAGTCGTGGGTCCCTAAGCAAACAGAAATGATATATTTTGTGGAAAAAAACCCTAAATTTGGCTTTTAGTTCAGAGACCTTCACTTCTATGTAATGCAATAGCCAGGAATAAATTAATAAAGTCACTTTAATAAGCTATTGTAGGTTTATGTTGTGGGTTGAAGACTGCTGGCTTGAGGTGACTGGTTGCATTGACTGGCAGAAGAAAATGTTGAAACTAGGTGACAGTTTGCTCTCATTACCATGCATGGCTCTTTTTGTGACCTTCACTCACTCACTCTCTCATGGCTGTATTTCTGAAGTGTGTTCTTTTATTTATTTATTCTGTGGAATATATCATTGCTCTATAGGCTTTTTTGAATTTTCCTATCACAGTGTTCATTTCTGTGGGAGGTGTGTCATTTCTTATGCTCTGTAAGAAAGGTTTTCACTTAAAGATGTTTGTGTTTCAAACATGTTATATTCTTTGGCTATGTGTATAGCAACATCTGGGTTGTTTCCCTGTGGCCAACAGTGATTGTATGCTTGTTTAACTGTGAGTCTGCCACCCTTCTTTTGAGTCCTAACATTAGCTACTTTATCCTGAGATATATTTTCTTTTCCAGTTTCCAAAATACAGGACAGTCATGAAAATGATCTGACTCTGCAATTGGAACTAGAAAGAGCCACAAATAAAGCACTAAAAAAAGGAGTACTTGTGGCACCTTAGAGACTAGCACTGAAACCCAAATCACAGCAATCTCAAAAGAGAACAAACAGCACATATCCCACACATAGGAGGTATACAAGGGAACAAAAATATACTTCACAAATAAGGAATCAGAACAGGAATCTATAGGAAAGGGCAAACTATATGCAAAAAAATGAGCAAACATAATGGGTGAAATCCCACCACAGTATGTAGCCAAATGTTTCTATTGTATTCCCTGGAGAGACTACAATGTAGCCCTATAAACCAGAGTCTTCTACAGTTCTGCTTTTCACAGTGTGATACAATTTTATACAATTAAATTTTCTGTTTTGAACTAATTTTCTTAAATTGAGTTGCAGGATTATATAGTTTAAAGATCCTCAAGTGTACTCACTAGGATTGCCAACTTTGTAATATTTAAAAAACAGACACTCCAGCAGGAGTGCCGGGGACTGCTCCTGCCTGCCTCTTCCCACAAGGTCCAACCCCTGACCCACCCCTTCCCAAGGCCCTGCTCCTGCCTCTCCCCACCCACCAAGGCCCCGCCCTCTATTTGCTCCTCTTTCCCCCTCCACCGTTCTGTCATTCTCTGCTTTTCCCCTCCTCTTCCTTCTGCCCAGAAGGGACTTGCCTTCAGAGCTGGGATCTGCTGCTGCCCAACACAGGTAGGAGGTGGCCCCAACTGAGTAGGGGCTGGCATAGGTAATGACCAGGCACCTCCCTGCCTCCCCCACCTGCAGTAACCGGATACTGTCAAGTCCCCTTTCTGACCGGACATTCCGGTCGAAAACCAGACACATGTCCATCCTAGTATCTGCATTTGTTATTTTATTTGCAGAGAGAAAATATAAAGAGAGATAAACAATAAACACACACGGAGAAAACTGGGCCAGGTGATGCAGGGAGTGAAAGCACTAGTGTTTCACCTATGAAGATCCAAGTTCAAGTTCTAGGTCTGATCACAAGTGAAACTTATTTTAGGTAGTCTCATCCAAATTTGCCATCAGGGAGGTGAAAACCAGTAGTGGTAATATTCTGCGCACAGCCATCACTCCTCTAATATAAAGCTAGTACCCAGCCCTTCCTCCGTCTGCCCCATTCACCAGCACCAGAATTCCTAACTTCTCTAGTTGGGTTGGTCCTGTTCCTGGTGTGCTGGCCATTTTTAACTCTCGAAAAGGCTTGGTACTAGGTGTGAAAGATTGTAAATACTACAAAGGCTACTGAGGCATTGTAGCGGGGTGGTCACCCCGCTCCGGCCATGAAGGGGTTAAAACAGCCCTGGGAGAGGGCTCCCTGGGGGAGCCAATAGTAAAAGCAGCCCTGGAGAGGGCTTCAGCTGGGAAAAGCTAGGCTGATAGGGGGAAGCGGCCACAACTGGGGCCATGCCCCAATCGGGCCACAGCTGGCCCTGTAAGAGGGCTGAGGGCCAGGAGCTGTAAGATTCTCACTTTAGCCTGGGAGCGGGAAGGGCTAGCTGCCTGGGAGCAAGGTACATGAAGCAGAGCAGTGCTGGGGAAAAGGACAAACGGGAGCTGGGGAGCTCCAGCCTGGTAAACCCCAGGCTGCAGGCCTTGTTGGGGGCCTACAAAGGTACTGGGGCTACAGAGGTGCAGCCTGGGAATAGGCAGAGGCAGCTTATCCAACCTCCTTGCCAACGATGAGCAGTCATGACAGACTGCAGTCTGCCCCTGTGAGCGGGGGCTACATGATGACTGGCAGTAGCCACTGAGGCAAGGTGGGGATAGAGGGTTGGGGGCTCCCCTGGGAGGGAAAACACAGAGTAAGGGGTACTGCTGGGGGCAGAACCCTGAGGTAAAGTGGCACTGGGGTCTCAGAGGGACACGGTGTCTGAGGCAGACAAGACACCGGCCAGTAGAGGGCGCTCTGGAGTTGGAAAGAGCTATTTCCCAGGACGACCAGCACTGGTGAGTCATCGCATCACTACAATTATGCAAGCATGGAAGCTAGCCAGAATACCCAGAGCACAACAAAGCACACCAGGATCAGAGTTAGGAAGTTTCTTGCAGATCTGAAGCCAGGAGGGGGGAAAAAACAACTTTTAGGTGGGTGTGAAGGTAGAAATGGTCACAGGTGAAAGATTTAAAATCTCATTCACTGATTTCCCCACATACCACTCTACCAGAGGCCTGCTTTTTCATCTTGTCCTGGGCCCTGTGAATCCTGGACCAAAATGGCAGAAGTGTCTCAGGCCAGGATATAAGAACATTGGCAGAGATGTCTGTGGAAGCCTTCACAAAGCATGGACAGAATAAGCCTGGCTCAAGACAATGCTATTAGTCTCCCATTTTCATAAACAATAAAAGTCAGTCACATATACAACAAAATCTCATTGAGAAAGACAGTAAATCATAATGGGACTAAGATTTCACTGTTGCATCTGTGCTTCTGTTAATACTCAAGTATTATAAACAATAAACTACACCCAGACTTTCAATGAAAATATAGGCTATTTCTTTGTGAATGGAATGGTTCTTGTTACATTCCAGAATATAATTTTGAAGTCATTTTTTTTTAAAACTCATCACCTATATTAACTGTGCTGCATAGTAAGGAACACCAGTGGTTACCAAGAACACAGCTTTTCTTGCTACAGACAGATTCAAAGTGGGAATAAAGTGCCTAGCAGCTGCTGTTATCCTAACAGTTGGAAACTGTCTCCATCAGCTGGCAAAATACAAACACAGCAGTCCAAAAGTGGTACAATGCTATCAGAAAAAGAAAGAATACGATTTTCCTAAATAACCTATTTTCATACTTTTTAATGGAAGAGATATACATAAAACACAAAAGAAACTTCAGTGGATAGGGCATATTATAGATCATTACTCATCTGTACCAAAGATTTACAGAAGTTGAATGTCAAATTTAAACTCAGTTAACTCATCAATAGCAAAGACATCAATAACATAGGCAACACATGGAAAAAAGGGGTATTTTGTTCTACACTGGAGTGAGAAAAATTAAGACTATTCCTGCACTAAACAAATGTGTAGTGGTACTTTCTAACAACTTGTGATGTTTGGGTTGGTTATAGAGAAACTCACATCAGACCTGCACAGCATCATGGCTAGCATAAACCAAGCTCTCTAAAAAGTTTATAAATGTAGAACTGTTGGGATAGATCATGATAACGCTAATAAAGGCAATTAAGACATCATAAACTAAGGGCTATATGTTATAAAAACGCAAAAAAGAAATTTACCTGGAATAAGTTCCATAACTATATAAATAGGCTGCCTTTGAGTGCAAACTCCTATTAGCTTGACAATATTGGGATGGTCATATTGCTTGAGTATTCTGCATAGGGTGCAAAAATTTTGATTACGTTAGTATATTTCATTATGCAAGCTGATTAAAATAAATATCAGCAGAAAGTATCTTAAACCTCTAACATTATTTTAAAGCAAAATTTTCCTTGTTATATTATCCAAAATAAAAACCAGTTGCTTTCAATGCATCAAACATACCACTCTGTGGAATTACAATCATACCACTCTGATGAGAAAATTAAAAACTAGTGAATACATTAACTAGTTTACAAGTCAAGATCTACTTAAGTATTCTCATAGTGATCCCACCATTTGTACACATCATAAAACAACTATATAATTTGACATGACAAGGCAGTCATACCTCATGAGGCCCAGAATTTAACTGAAAGATCAGAACTGGGCAGTGCTGGGAGAGTTCAGTCAAAAACCTTGCAAAGCATCTGTTTGCACAGCTCAATCACCAACTCATTTTCCTGAGCATTAAATACAGTAAAAATAATTTAAACTGAAAACAAAAAATTAAGGATAATGATTCCAATTTAGGAAGCTAAAACAATAAAACTTGCATCTGCTCAAGTAAGGCTATGATGAGAATATTTACAGACAGAAGAATATGCCATGATTTATAAATGAAAAGGAGGGCTGGTGAGAATTCTAGAGAGACATCATAGCTTCTGAAAGTTTGCTGCCTACTAATTAACTTGAACCACCTCTTGTAAAAGAAAATGGAAAGCTTTAGTATGCTTGAATGCCATCTCAGTAAGGAATAATGTATTTCATTTTAATTTCAATATAAAATTATTTCTTGAGTTGCAGGCTGCTTAGCAAGTGAAGCAATTCCTTGGTAGCCAGCCAGGCTATTAGCATGAAATCAAAGCCATTTTCAAGGAATTATATAGTTCAGATATCCAGTAAGTTATTTGTATATAGCTAATGTTTTCTACCTTTCTATCTCCTTAAAACTCAGTTATTTATCTAACAATGAAACTATGTTAAACTCTAGCGTGAGGACAGCAAGATAACTTAAAACATTTTACAATATTGTGGTACACTCCCTTACCCTGAGAATTTAAAGGCCATGTACTTGTGTTCTCATGTATCAGCTCACATACTTGGGCTTAGCAGGCTTTTCACCAATGTTTTATAATATAATTGCTATTTCAACCTCATTTTTCCCCACTATCAGGAATATCCTTTGCCTGTCTGGCACAGCCCAGTTCTTCCAGAAGGCCTGTTTCTTCCCAAGAAAGATTAGTTAATGAGGTCAACATTTACATGTTTTATGACTACCACTACTACTCTAAAGTCTTGCTTGAGTCTATGATAAGGTCAGAACTTTGGGAAAAAAAGCTCTTAACTGGCTGGCAATGTTAGTTTCAGGGCTTATTTATGATTGCTGGACTGGTCACTAAAGATACCCAAAATCTTTAATTTTCAAAATTAAAATTTCAATTAAAAAAAATTCAAGGTAAGCATATATCTAATTACATGTAGAGAACTCACCTGGCCTCTGATAAAAATTTTATTTTCAGTTCCTGAGGAAGATCTTCTTTACAAGTTTTTACAGCAACAGGAGTTTTATCCTTTAATGTTCCCTTATATACTTCACCAAAATTACCCTGAAATTGCAAATATATATATTCATTGTGCTGAGTAAACACATGATTTTTAACTCTTCAGAAAAATAAGAAACAGATACCTCATATCAAAGAATTTTCATTAGGATCTATGTTTTAAAGATGCTTTTATAAAATCATACTAACTTCAAAGGAAAATTGTTTTATTTTCTTGCTCTTACTCTAACATCATCCAGTTCATAATCCATTTTTATATTTGATCATATCTAACATACAGAATCTGACAAGATATTCTACTGTAACTTTAAAATATTTTCTGAACAAACGAAATAAGTTGGTCTTCAAATCCTTTTTTTAGTCAGTGGAACTTCATTAACTTCTAAAATCTGGGTTACATGTTGAAAATATTACTTTCTTCCTTCTCTTCGATATTAACTCCACATCTCCAGATAAGAAAATGGAGAATTGTTTATTCCCTACTTTGAGATGCAGAATTTTTGTTATCTGATATGATCTTTGATGGGGCATGACATAGGCAACTGTACTGATTACAGTATAATCAACTATTGTTACAGCCAGTTCTCATCCGTGTTGTTACATTACTGTGCACAACGAGGAGTCCTTGTGGCTCCTAAGAGACTAGCAAATTTATTTGGGCATAAGCTTTCGTGGGCTAAAACCCACTTCATCAGATGCATGGAGTGAAAAATACGGTAAGCAGAATATACATTCTAGCACATGAAAAGATGGGAGTTGCCTTACCAAGTGGGAGGCCAGTGCTAACAAGCCGATTCAATTAAGGTGAAAGTGAATTAATTGAATCGGCTCGTTAGCACTGGCCCCCCACTTGGTAAGGCAACTCCCATCTTTTCATGTGCTAGAATATATATTCTGCTTACTGTATTTTTCACTCCATGCATCTGATGAAGTGGGTTTTAGCCCACGAAAGCTTATGCCCAAATAAATTTGTTAGTCTCTAAGGAGCCACAAGAACTCCTCGTTGTTTTTGCTGATACAGACTAACACGGCTACAACTCTGAAACCTATTACTATCTACATATAAATTGGGCAGGGAGGCCAAAGGCTCTCCATATACAGGAAGGTTTTCCTCTCCCATTTTCAAAATTTTACGCTCTACACAAAGGTGAGGTTTGAGGCCCCACATTTTGCCAATAAGTGGATTTAAAAAGTAACTTGTTCTATATTCAGATTTCTGAGATGCCAAGCAAGAGCTTTTCAGTGAAAGACATATTTTTTAAATTGGCCTTTACACCAGGATAATATGGAATAATTAGGCAGGAGAGTAGAATGAAGACAACTAAAAAGTAATTTAAGCTTACCATAAAGTTGCTGATTATCTAAACAATAACTATGATTGAGATATGGGAACTAATTAGTTCAAGACCGAAGGCGCAGCAAATCAAAAGAAACTATTGCAGGCCCAAGGGTGCTCTCAGTTTCTGCCTTTTCACTACTTAGGCTTAAGAAACTAGGAAAGATTATACTCATGCAAAGGAGCAGACCATGCACAGGAGCACAAAACTGAAGGGCATATTTCCTTTATCTGTGCTTGTTGGTTTTCTTTTTTTCTTCCCCCCCTGTAAGAACAGATATGGCTAAATCTTAAAGCTATCCCTGGTTTATCTCTACACAGATCTCTTTCCTTATGTGTGCCTCTGTTTGGAGTTTTGTGACTTCAGTAAGCATAGCCAGAATTTGCAGGAAGTGGTTTCCTTGTTTTTCTGAGTAAATAAGGTTTTTTTTAAATAATCACCACACATATATGTACATGAGCACACATACTAATGTGAAAAGCAAAAAAAAAAGGGGGGGAAGAGATACAAACGGTAAGGAGAAAGAGATAAAACTCAGGCGGATGATAGCAATGCTGTTATAGTTACAAGGTACTTCTATTCTAAATCCCTATTTATAAACACAACTTTGAAAAATCATCTTACATGAAAAACACCAAGATATAAAACAATTTTTAAAAAATATTTAAGTCTGTACTTATATAATATTCCCTTCATAAAACTGAACTGTAGAATTATTACTTCCTCTACTATCTCAAGCCTCTGTTAATTTGTCTAAACTAAGATAAAAGGTATATTTCTAAAACTTGTGGGTGAAAACATTTTCAATCTTTTTAAAACCCTAATTGTATTTGAACATGTTAGCTGAGGTGAACCAGAGTTCACTACATAAAGTACACCTATAACCCTAGTTTAGACAAGCCCGATGTCATGGTGATCTTCTTTGGGCAAGAAAGTGCTAGCTGAAAATCCCTTTCAAGTCGGTTAGTATCACCATTACATTACTGCCGGGGGAATAAAAAAAAAAAAAAAGCATGCAGAGACACAAAGTTCTCTATGAGCCAAGCCTGCTACTTGTACAGTGCTTCCTAGTAGTGTCAGCCCAGGGAATGAGATAGTAAATATTGATCTCATCACCATAAGACTATTAAGCTGGTCCATAAAAACGTTTAAAGAAAGTCTTTCACACTGGAGAAAATTTGGAGAAGAGAACAGATTCAAGAAACAACCAATTTTCAGAGCAACTTCACTGCAGGAGCAAGCAAGAGAAGCTGATGGGCTGGGAGCAAACTCTTTTAAAAAAAAAGGCTTGCAAAATGGTATGGAACAGTATGAAAACCTCATGTCAGAGAACTAGCTCAATTAAAAATATATATGATAGTTTTCTACAGTCAGAAGTCTTCCTTTTGGACTGTCTTCTACCCTAGATCTTTGTGCAGAAATCCCAATGGTATCAGTGGTGGTTCTACATGCAAAATGAGGGTAGACTATGGCTTATTAAGTATTCTAAAATTCTCTTATGCCATTAATAATAGCAATGAGAAGTTCCAAGGGGTGCCCATGCTGGGAAAACTGTGGAGCATTCACAGAAACCGGGTGCTTTTAACCATAAAACATTACTAAAATCACTTTGCAGCTCCTTCTTTGCTTAAATGATGGTGTTTTAGGAACTTTTTGACAGAAAATGCTCTTAAGTCATTTATTTAGATATTTTAAGTTAAGTACTTTTATTTTTTTATTATTCATAATGTTCCCTCTGAAGTTTGAAATTCATTTTTAATTTCCCTTCAAGTTTGTATTTACAGCTCCAATCAGGATTGCTAATTTAAATAAAGAGGCAAAACTAGAAACAGACCTGTGGCTATTGAAAATACATTTTTCTTCTAGGAGATAAAGAAAAATGGATTCTTTGTAACCCTTCTTGCATAGATAGTGGTTCTCACAGAACGTAGGCTACACACGGCATTGCTTTTATGGAACAAACAGAAACTGCAGCAATTTTTTTTTAATTACCTGGCACTGCAAAGATGACTATTAACAAAATTAAATATACATGGGTCAAGGTAATGTAGATATATTTCAAACCTAAAATACTTGACAATACACTTTGTAATTTCACAGTTTTATAAAGCTGTGTTTATTATATGGTTGAGCTTGCTAGTTCTTTAAACAGGGTTTCTTTTCTCCTCTCAGCCATTAGTAAGTAGCTTATACTTGGAAATCCAAACTTCAGATAGGACATCTTTGAACCACAGTATTACTCTCACTCAGCAAGGGCTGCAGATGCTCCTATGTTTTGAAAAAGGAAATGGAGCATAATGATAGTTCATTGTACTCTATCCTGGTTAATTTTATTTTATTCCTTGTGAAGGGAGACCGCAGGTAAGTTAATATAAGCAATCTCCATTCATTCTGGGGCAGACACTGCTCGCCCATTTATTCTCAACCTGTTCTTCAATCTGGTGACCGCTATTTAGAAACTTTTAATAGAGCTAGAGGTGGTGGGATGGAATGTGAGTTATCTATATGACTTGGCTGGTGTCTTCTGAAGTACTGCTAGTACTGCTCCATGCAGCTGGAAACAGAAAAGTCTGAATAGTGTAGCAATCAGCATCTTCCTCCCTCTTTTAATTCGGAGTAATCACAGCACATTTTTAAAGTGCCTTGCCAAGGCAAGATATATTTACAGATTCATAGATTTTAAGGCAAAAGGGACTATTAAATCTTTTACTCTGACCTCCTAAATAAGTAGGGACCTACCAAATTCATGGTCCATTTTGGTCAATTTCACAGTCATAGGATTTTAAAAATTTAGCTATTTAAATCTGAAATTTCATGGTATTGTAACTGCAGGGGTCCTAACCCAAAAAGGTGTTGGCGGGGTGTGTCACGAGGTTATTGTGGGGGGTGTTGCGGTACTGCTACCCTTACTTCTGCACTGCAGCTTGCAGCAGCGCTTCCTTCAGAGCTGGGCAGCTGGAGAGCCTTGGTTGCTGGCTTGAAGCTCAGCTCTGAAGGCAGAGCCGCCGCTAGCAGCAGCTCAGAAGTAAGGATGGCATGGTATGGGATTGCCACTCTTCTGCACTGCTGCCTGCAGAGCTGGGCCCTCAGTAAGCAGTCACCACTGTTTGGCCGCCCAGCTCTGAAGGTAGCAGCACAGAAGTAAGGGTGGCATGCTATGGGTATGGTATTGCCACCCTTACTTCTGCGCTGCTGCTGGTTTGCTGCCTTCAGAGCTGGGCACCCAGCCAACAGCTGCCGTTCTCTGGCCACCCAGCTCTGAAGGCAGTGCAGAAGTAAGGGTGCCAATACTGTGAGCCCCCTAAAATAACCTTGCAAACCCCCCACCCTGCAACTCTCACTTGGGTCAGGACCCCTAATTTGAGAAATGCTGGTCTCCCCCATGAAAGCTGCATAGTATAGGGTAAAAGCACACAAAAGACCAGATTTCATGGTCCGTGACGCGTTTTTCATGGCCGTGCATTTGACAGGACCCTATGTATAACACATACCATGGAATCTCATCCAGATACTTCTGTAATGAGCCCAATAATTTGTGTTTGACAAAAACATACCTTCCAGGAAGGCCTCCAGTCCTGATCTGAAGACTTCAAGAGAAGGAGAATCCACCACTTTCCATGGTAGTTTGTTTCAATGTCTAATCACCCTCACTATTAAAAATTTGAGCCCTTATTACTCAGTATTTTCTCCCCATGAAGCTACTTATAACCATACTCAAATCATTCTTGAACTTCATTTTGATAAACTAAACAGATTGAGTTCTTTAAGGGCTTGTCCACACGAACCCTTAGTTCGTGGCAAGCTGGGGTGTAAATCTATCCTACACTAACCTGTTGAGCATCAAGTGTCCATGTGGACTCCGCTGCCATGCAGTAAAATTTCCCTAGTATGCTTTAATCTACTTGTTTCAGAGTAACAGCCATGTTAGTCTGTATTCGCAAAAAGAAAAGGAGTACTTGTGGCACCTTAGAGACTAACCAATTTATTTGAGCATAAGCTTTCATGAGCTACAGCTCACTTCATCGGATGTATACTGTGGAAAGTACAGAAGATCTTTTTATACACATAAACCATGAAAAAATGGGTGTTTACCACTACAAAAGGTTTTCTCTCCCCCCACCCCACTCTCCTGCTGGTAATAGCTTATCTAAAGTGATCACTCTCCTTACAATGTGTATGATAATCAAGGTGGGCCATCTCCAGCACAAATCCAGGGTTTAACAAGAACGTCTGGGGGGGGGGTGTAGGAAAAAACAAGGGGAAATAGGTTACCTTGCATAATGACTTAGCCACTCCCAGTCTCTATTCAAGCCTGAGTTAATAGTATCCAATTTGCAAATGAATTCCAATTCAACAGTTTCTCGCTGGAGTCTGGTTTTGAAGTTTTTCTGTTGTAATATCACAACTTTCATGTTTGTAATTGCGTGACTAGAAAGACTGAAGTGTTCTCCGACTGGTTTATGAAGGTTATAATTCTTGACATCTGATTTGTGTCCATTTATTCTTTTACATAGAGACTGTCCAGTTTGAACAACGTACATGGCAGAGGGGCATTGCTGGCACATGATGGCATATATCACATTGGTGGATGTGCAGGTGAACGAGCCTCTGATAGTGTGGCTGATGTTATTAGGCTCTGTGATGGTGTCCACTGAATAGATATGTGGGCACAGTTGGCAACGGGCTTTGTTGCAAGGATAGGTTCCTGGGTTAGTGGTTCTGTTGTGTGGTATGTGGTTGCTGGTGAGTATTTGCTTCAGGTTGGGGGGCTGTCTGTAGGCAAGGACTGGCCTGTCTCCCAAGATTTGTGAAAGTGTTGGGTCATCCTTCAGGATAGGTTGTAGATCCTTAATAATGCGCTGCAGGGGTTTTAGTTGGGGGCTGAAGGTGACGGCTAGTGGCGTTCTGTTATTTTCTTTGTTAGGCCTGTCCTGTAGTAGGTGACTTCTGGGAACTCTTCTGGCTCTATCAATCTGTTTCTTCACTTCCGCAGGTGGGTATTGTAGTTGTAAGAATGCTTGATAGAGATCTTGTAGGTGTTTGTCTCTGTCTGAGGGGTTGGAGCAAATGCGGTTGTATCGCAGAGCTTGGCTGTAGACGATGGATCGTGTGGTGTGGTCAGGGTGAAAGCTGGAGGCATGTAGGTAGGAATAGCGGTCAGTAGGTTTCCGGAATAGGGTGGTGTTTATGTGACCATTGTTTATTAGCACTGTAGTGTCCAGGAAGTGGATCTCTTGTGTGGACTGGACCAGGCTGAGGTTGATGGTGGGATGGAAATTGTTGAAATCATGCTGGAATACCTCAAGGGCTTCTTTTCTATGGGTCCAGATGATGAAGATGTCATCAATATAGCGCAAGTAGAGTAGGGGCGTTAGGGGACGAGAGCTGAGGAAGCGTTGTTCTAAGTCAGCCACAAAAATGTTGGCATACTGTGGGGCCATGCGGGTACCCATAGCAGTGCCGCTTATTTGAAGGTATACGTTGTCCCCAAATGTAAAATAGTTATGGGTAAGGACAAAGTCACAAAGTTCAGCCACCAGGTCAGCCGTGACATTATCGGGGATAGTGTTCTTGACGGCTTGTAGTCCATCTTTGTGTGGAATGTTGATGTAGAGAGCTTCTACATCCACTCCTATTTCAAAGCGCGCAGCAGGCTAGTGCAAAATAGAGTTACACCCTAGCTTCCCCCCAAACTAAGCATTGGTGTAGACATTGTTTCCTGCACACATAATTTTTGTGTCTTTTTTCAGGACCTCCATATGTCTAACATCCTTTTAAAAATGTGGACATCAGAAAAGGAGGCAATATTTCAGTAGTGGTCTCACTAATGCTGTATATGGGGGGAAGTCACCTCCCTACTCCTATTTACTACTCCCCTGTTTATACATCCAAGGATTGCATTAGCCTTTTTTGCCACAGCATCACTCTGGAAGTTCATGTTCCAGCATTTGTGTGCTATGATCCCTAAATCCTTTTTAAAGTCACTACTTTACAGGATACAGCCCCCCGTTCCGTAGGAGTGGCCTGAATTTTGTTCCTAGATGCATAACCTCACAGTTAACTGTATTAAAATACATTTTGTTTGAATGGGCCCATCTTATCAAGCGATCCAAATCACTTTGTATTACTGCCCAGTCCTCATTATTTACCATTTCTCTAATCTTCGTGTCATCTGCAAATTTTATCAGCAATGATTTTATAATTACTTGATAAAAATGTTAAACATGGGGCCCAGAACAGATACCTGCAGAACCCCATTGGAAACACTTGCATTCAACAATGTCACACTGACAGCTGATTTTTTGAGATCTGCTAGTTAGCCCATTCTTAATGCATTTAACATATGATGTATTGATATTGTCTAGTACTCATTTTTAAATGAGAACGTCATGTGGTACTGAGTCAAATGCCTTATAAAAGTCTAAGTACATTACATCTGCGTAACCTTTATCAAACAAACATGAAATCATATTAAAAAAATCACGTTTGTTTGACAAGACCTATTCTTCCATAAAACCATGTTAATTTGCATTAAGTATAATCCAGCCCTTTAATTCTTTATTGATTGAATCCTGTATCAGCTTTTATGTTATTTTGCCTAGGACTGATGGTAGGCTAACTGGTCTATAATTAGCTGTGTCATTCATTCAGCTTGACCTTTTTGAATATTGGCATGAATTAGTCTTTTTCCATTCTTCTGCAATTTCCTCAGTATTCCAAGATTTATTAAAAAACAACATCAGGGGATCAAGGACATTTTATGCCAACTCTTTTACAATTCTTGGGTGTAAGTTAACTGGGCCTGCTGATTTATCCCTACTAGGTACTGTTTCAAATCCTTCTTAATTAGTAATTGACTGGAAAGTAGTTCACCATCTTCATGTGATATGAGTACATCATCCTACTCCTTTCCAAATATAGAAATGAAATATTTATTGAACGTTTCTGCCTTTTCAGCTTGTCATTACTCCTGAATCAGTTTTTACATAACAGCAACATACATGCATAATTGAGGCAATTTTCTTTCACAAGAAGTAATTCTTCAGTTATAGGATGTTCTGTAAATTTTTCTGTCAAACCATATCTTGATATAATCATAACTTATTTTACCATGCACATAACTTATTTTACTTAATATTGAAATGTATTACTTTTATTCAATGACTCATTGTGTCTGTCTTGCTCACCTAGGGGTAATTAATGTTTATTTTTGTGAGAAGGCCTTGATTGATGCCAGAAATGTGTCTCTTTTCCAGCATGCTGCTTTTCCATTTTCTTCAGTAGAACTGGCATTATAATTGTGTGGCATTTTTAGTGGACATAATTCTCTGTTTATCTAGTGGCAGTTTGTGTTTTTGTTTCCTTAATCTGTCAAAGAGATTTTATCCTGTGCAGCAGAATGCTTTGACAGAATTTTCCCCTCCTGTTCTTTGAATGGTTCGTCAATTCTTACAGTATAAGAAACATACACATTTTACGCTAAGCCAACTGTCTTTATGTGTTTCTTTTGATTTAAAGCATTTTTCAGGTTTTGTGGCATAGTCTAGAGCATTAGAGGCAGCCTAGTATAGTGGATTAAACACAAGTTTGAGAGCTAGGAATTCTTGAACATTAATTTCAGTACTTGTACTAACTCACGATGGGGTTTGGCATCAGTTTCACCAAATGTAAAGTGGGCCATAGGACTAGTTACTTACCGAATTTATAGAAGTGTTCTAAAGGTTTATGTTCGTAAAAGACTTTGACGATGTAAACTGCTATGTAAGTGCTAAGTATTATTTTGACTAATGCAGCGATTGTTGTGATGTTACCTACACGACTATTTTACTTGCCTTCTAACACTGAGCAGGTCATACAAAGTCAGTTCAGTCCACATAAACCATCTGATTTTTATCAGCTCACTAATTTATGTAAGCACCTTTACTACTTTGCAGAAACATTCCTCACTGCTTGTATTTATACAACACATAAAATTAGATTGTTAAAATCAGTATGTATATGTAAATATATGAAATATGCAAGCTGCTCTTAAAACACTTATACCAATCAACAAAAGACAGAGAACATTTATTATTTACTTGTAAACGTGGTGTACTTTTATGTATGCTGAAATTCAGTGCTATTTGCAATGCATTAAACTATATGAATTACTAAAGAAATTTTGTTTACTAGAAAAATAAGAGCTCCAAAAATAAGAAACTACAGACTTCACAGTCAATATATACTTGGAACTCATAGGCTAAGGAATTTTTTTTTCATTTAGTTCTGTTGATTACTTACTTTGCCCAGTAATTCTCCCAGTGTGACATCTTCATGATTGAGAACCCATTTCTTATCCTACAGCAAGGAAAAAACCAGTTGCTTAGTCCACACAATAGTATATTTCCTATAAGACGTATTTGAGCTAGTAGAAATAGACCTAAAGGAATATTTCATTCAGACCATTCAATCAACAGCATGCCAAGACATAACCTCAAGAGGCTATAAAACAGATTTAAGAAATGTTGCTGCACAATAGAATATTAAAATCTACATTATAGCAAATTTCTATCAGAAAATTAAGCCTTCAGCATGATACTATACATGTAAATAGAGCACAACAGGCACTATTTTCATAGAACTCAGGATCTGTTATCTACTATTGCTGATTTTAAAAATGACTTTAGTCAAAGTAAGGAAGATAAGGATAAGGAGACTTCCTTTTGCAATACAAAAAAAAACCCCCAATAAACCTAATTCTGACTTGATCCAACAAAATGGTTTCCCTTCCAGTACGTTGTAAAAAGAACCAGTTTTTCTACAGATGAACTGGCCATGTGTTAGCATTTATTAAACCTACTGTGTGCAGTTTCACATATTTCTCAAGTAATATCCCATAGTATAATAAAAAAAAAACCAATCATCAATTATAGTGTCAGTACAGTACTGAAGACCAGTCATGCAAACATTCTATTACAAAACAGCATATGCATTAAATGGCTGCAAAAGCTGCTGACCGCACTGGGACACATTTGGATTGGTACAAACATGTTTTGTTGAAACATTTCCAGAGCTGTATTTTAATACTAATAGGTATGGTCACGTAGAGGAATTATTTATTTCTGTTTATTTCTTTAGATTCTTCCAGCATATGATATTCTAGGCACCATACAAATACCATCAACAACAATATCTTATATGAAAATTTATCATCATCACATTTACACCATGCATCTGTCCATTACTAATGAAACAAACCCAAATCTAAACCAGTCTGTTGCCATCCCATCAATCCATTTTCTCCCTGAATCTCAGAGTAAAAGGTGGGTTTTGTAGCATGCCTGGTAAAATAGCAAATCTAGCCTTAATGCACCAACTGAAAGCAAATTCCAAAGTCAAGGACCCCCTTACCTATTTCCTCCCTCAAATAGAGAGGTCAAGTTTGAGCAGCAGCACTAATCACAGCTGCAACAGAGAAAGTAAGGTGGTCTTTCAGGTAAGCAAATCTCAAAATCTTCAGGGTTGCAAACATATTGACAACCAGTGCAGACTACAGATTAGTGGTATAATGTGCTAATTTTTTGTATTGCACTCCTTAATAATCAAGTGGCTGCACTGAGCATTAACTTCAGTTTTATAATGGTCATACTGTGTAATCCATGTAGAACAGTCTAATCTAGAGGTGACAGCAACATCAATAACTGACCAGAATTAAACTGAATTGATTTAAATTCTTTCAGATTCTCTTTTTTCTGATATTTAGTGTTGATTTAAAGGCTCCTTTGTGCCACCAAGGTTAACCTAAAATTAAGAGCTTCAATGAATTGTAAATTCACCTTTAGTTGGTCATGGATTAATTGAGAACAAGTTCCGCTTTCTAAGAAGTTCTTTTTTTTTAAAACAAGTTTACTCCCAGCCAAAATCCAAAACCTGATCTGATTTTGCTAAATTCAAAAATGTATACTGGCTGTATTACAATTTACAATCAATTTAGTAGACTTATTTAGCATTTCAAAGTGAATACTTTTTTTCACTTTTCTTAAATTAGATATATTTTTAAATCTGAACCTCTACATTTTCTCATCTGGACAGAGGGAAAAAATAGGAAGCTTTTCTTTTATCAAATGGATTGAGGGGGATAGTTAAAAATATTATTTCTCAATCTGCTGCAGACTTTCCCACCCTTTCTTTTGACTGTACTGTCCCCTTTGCTTCCATAAGTGGGGGGGGCGGGGGCCGCGAGGGTAGGAGCCTGTAGCAGAGTAAATACAACCACTATTTTGCAGTCTGTTAAAGGCAAAAAGATATTAAAATAATTTTTATGGCTGAGACACAAACTAAGAAAAGAGAAGACATTTTAACACTTTCATTTGTATGTTACAACACAGACTGTTTCACTATGTTCTTGTACCTAACAGAGTGCTTTGCTTTTGTCAGTTTGCTTCATGTGCAGTTTGCTTCATGTGCTTGACAACATTTAAGATCATCCTGAACATATTCTGTCTGTTTTCATTTCTCTCTTTTAATTTTGCAGCTGAGGTTTGTTTGTTTTTTTAAAGTGATGGAGTATGTGAAAAATATTCAATTTTAGATTCTTTTGGACCGATCTGATTCCTAAAGAATTATCAGATTTGTTCTAATCAGATAGTAAAATCTCTTCTGTATTGATCAGTGATTGGGACATCATTTGGGGACCCCCATCAGAGAATCAGAGAAAGGTCGGGCTAGAAGGGACCTTGGGAGGTCAGTCTAGTCTCCCCACCCTCCACGAAGGCAGGACCAAGTATACCTTGACCATCCCTGACCGGTGTTTGTCTAACCTGTGCTTAAAAACCTACAATGATGGGAATTTCACAATCTCCCTTAGAAGTCTATTTCATATCTTAACTACCCTTAAAGTTAGAAAGATTTTCCTAGTATTGAACCTAAACTTCTCTGACTGCAGATTAAGCACATTACTTCTTGTCCTACCTTCAATGGACATGCAGAACAACTGATTACTGACCTCTCTGTAACAGCCCTCAAAGTATTTGAAGACTTATAAGGTCCCCCGTCAGTCTTCTTTTCTCAAGACTAAACATGCCCACTTTTTTTTTTTTTTTTTTTAAAAAACCTTTCCTCATAGGTCAGGGTTTCTAAACCTTTTATCATTTTTGGTGCTCTCCCCTGTCCACATCTTCCTTGAAACATGGTACCCAAAACCGGGACACAATACTCCAGCTGAGACCTCAATAGAGTGGGACAATTACCTCCTGTGTCTTAGGGTACATCTACACTTCCAATAGCGAGTAGAGTACAGACACTGCATGCCCAACTAGCATAGGTATACACAGCAGTATGGATGATGAGGCACTGCTTAGGCAAGCAATGTACAGACATGTCAGAACTGTAGATTATATACCCTACACAGCTCTCTATATACCCCAAAAGTGCCACCCACATCTACACTGCTATTTTAAGCAGTTTAATATTTCACTGCCGGAGCCTGTCCCTACTGCTGAGAAATGCTCTGGCAGCAAAAAAAGGCTCTGGCAGGAAAGAGGCAGAGGGGAAAAGGCTCTGACAAGGAGGAGGCATCAGGAAAAGGAACAGCCAAAGCCTTTCCCTGCTGTGTGCCTTGTGCCAAAGCCTTTCACTGCCACGTGTAGCTACACACTCCAGCATGGATGCAGCCTGCCTTTCACTGCCACATGTTGTTACGTGAACCCTACATGTTGCTGTAAACGTAGACACAGCCTTATATAGGGCACTCCTGTTAATATACCCCAGAATATTAGCTTTTTTGCAACTGCATCAAACTGATGACTCTCAATTTGTGATCTACAATAGCCCCTAGATCATTTTCAATACTACTGCTTAGCCAGTTATTCTCCATTTTGTAAATGGGCATTTGATATTTTTCTTCCCAAAAGTAATACTTTGCACTTGTCTTTACTGAATTTCATCTTGTTGATTTCAGATCAATTCTTCAATTTGCCACGGTCATTTTAAATTCCAATTCTGTCCTGAGAATGTCATGGGGGACTGTATCAAAAGCCTTACTAAAAATCAAGATATATCATGTCTACAGCTTCCCCACTATCCACTTGGCCAGTGACCCTGTTAAAGAAGGAAATTAGGTTGGTTTGGCATAATTTGTTCTTGACAAATCCATGCTGGCTCTTCTTAATAACTCTTATCCTCTAGGTGCTGACAAACTGATTGCTTAATAATTTGTTCCAGTATTTTCCAGATATCGAAGTTAGGCTGACTGGTCCAAAATTCCCCCCTTTGTTCTCATCATTTTATTGTGCGACCACTTCTTAAAAGGTAGAGATGTCCTTATGGACTAGCTCCCCTCCAGTATCCTTGTGTTTGGTTCTTAAAATGTTTCATCTGTGGACCATAGTACATACATGGATCACAACTTGAGAACTACTGCATTACTTTATAAGGCAAAAATCCATAGATGTTATGTAATGCATTTATGCCTAAAATCGTACGTCAAAATTTATCTTGCACTGCAAATCTGCTAATCTCAGCAAGACACACACTGCTAGAAGGATTTAAAGAAAAAAACAACAACTTGTCCTGTTTAACCATTCTCTGCTCGTTTCCCATGTACATGATGCGCTGTGTTGAAGAAGACTAGCTGAATGTTGTGGGTAGAGCTTTGAAGAGTACATCATGTTTTTCCTCCCTTGTTTAGCCCCTGACTGATTACCATAAAGCACACTTAAATTCATGAACAAATTTGTGTACTTTAGCTCCTCAAGCTAACTGGGAACATCAAAGCAGCAAACTTCTACACCTTTGGCAGAGGGGACAGATAAGAGGAGAGGTCCGGTGAGCAGAAAGAACCAGCACTAATTGTGCTTTATTAGTGTTAATTACAGGATACAAGTGCATTCTTGGTGACTACTGTCTTCCTACAGGGAAGAGAAATATTTTGTATCTCACTGCCACTTCCTTCAACCATCTAGTTTTACTCCAGAGGCTCTGTGTGGTCCAGTGGTTACAACAGAAGCCTAGGAGCCCAGAAGAACTGGTTGCCCTAAGCAAGAAGATTGTATAGGAGACAGTGCAGCTCAGATTAAAAAGTATCCCACTCATTTATTAATTTTCTGTGCTTGAACAGATGGAAAAAACCTTTGGTACAAATCTCTGCCTGTTTCAAACTGATAAACAGACCCTGCAGATGTGATAATATTGCTGCTGCTCTTAAATTTTGGCATTAGATAATTTGACAGGTGAAGAAAAAAGTAATCTCGGTATGATCCATCTGATAAAGACATTCAAGGGGAAATGCTTGTGCAAACTTTATTTTTGCTTTGAAGATCTTTTGTGCTATCACAACTTCAAAACTATGTACTACTGAA